CGCTGCTGTCTCCACCTGGGCCAGCCGGGGAGCTCTCGGCGGCGAGGCTGTGACCCCTTAGAAAGACGCCTTCGATCTTCATCCCTGGCTCTTGCAGGCAGCTCCCAGAACCCTCCTTGTTTCCTTAGTGGTAGGGTGCTGTGGCTGATTTTGTTCTGAAAGTCAGTCTTCCAAGTCAGCTCCTAACCCTCTTGGCGTTTCTCCCAGGGGTGGAGCACCTTTTGTTGTAACAAGGTGACTTTTGGTGGGTTCCTGGGTGGGAGCTGGTCACCAGAAAGACCAAGCCATGCCAAAGAACTTAGAACCTGCAGCCCCACCTCCCATCCTGCAGGGGGCTGAGTTGATGCCTACGGGAGGGAGTCTCCATAAGCCCCGTAAAGCGTGGAGCACTGAGAGCCTTCCGGGCTGGTGAACATACGCACGCGACCACAGGGAGTCCCCCAGCTCCACGGGACGGAGGAGCCTGTGCTCAGGCCCCTGGCAGCCCCCTGCCCTGTGCCTCCCCATCGGGCTGTTTTGGGTGTAGCCTATTTACCTCTTCAGTGTAAAATAAACCAGGCCACAGTGTTTTCTGTGAACCCTCAGACGAAAGTATGCCTGACGAGGGGGTTGTGGGAACCCTGATTGCCGGCTCAGCTAGGCGGAAGGATGAGAAACCGGGGCACCCCATCTTGTGATTTGCACCTGAAATTATGGGGTGGTCTTGTGGCGCTGAACCCTTAGCCTGTGTGGCGTGCACTAACTCCGGGTAGCCAGTGTCATGATGGAACTGCAGGGCATCCAACAGGTGTCTGGAGTGGGAGCGCTGGTTGGTGTGAGAGAAGTGTTGTGGGAGTGATTACAGACAAGGGGGTTTCTCCTGTATGTGGGGGGGCTCTGGTGGCCAGGAGAGGGGCAGACACCTCAGGGCAGGGGACTGGGGTCTCGCGGCCTTCTTCTTGGTGAGGGGCAGGCGGGGCTGCACACCCAGGGAGGCTCTGTTGCTGTGCCCGTGGATCCTGGCCGTTCATCAGCTTGCGTGCAGGGTCCTGTTTCTTAGGGTCTGGTCACCATGAATGCTCTCTCTTTCTTATCCTCTTTCTTATCCTCACTGCCTGCCTGCATTGGCCTCTTCTCTGGTCGGCGCCTCTCTGTGGCTTGGTGCTGCCTGTAAGCCTTGCTTGGGCTCACAGTTCGCAGGCTATGAAGGGCTGTGGCTTGGTCAGGGGCCTGGGAGGGGCTAGCATGCTTGGAAGTGAAAGGCTCCCTCCCTGGGCACGGAAATCAAAAGCCCAGGAGTGCAAGCGTCTGAGTCTCACTTGCTGCTCTGCCCATAACTTGCTGTGTGATCCAAGCGACCGACACAGGACCTGACCCACTCAAGACTCAAGGAATCAGAATCTGCACTGTAGCAAGGTGTGGGGAGCCTGCCTGGGAGGCCCTGTTCTTGTCGTTAGTGTGTGGCGGGTGCCAGGCCCCTCGAGCGACCCCTCTGGGTTGGAGCAGTGGGCCTTGTGGTGCACAGCGCACAGGGGCGCCTAGGTTCCAGAACCAGTCCTCCCACGGACTTTCATTTTTAACTGTTTTTAAAAAATATTTTATCGGCCGGCGCCAGGGCTCACTAGGCTAATCCTCCACCTGCTGCGCCGGCACTCCGGGTTCTAGTCCCGGTCGGGGTGCCGGATTCTGTCCTGGTTGCCCCTCTTCCAGGCCAGCTCTCTGCTGTGGCCCGGGAAGGCAGTGGAGGATGGCCCAAGTGCTTGGGCCCTGCACCCGCATGGGAGACCAGGAGAAGCACCTGGCTCCTGGCTTCGGATCGGTGCAGCACTGGCCGTAGCGGCCATTTGGGGAGTGAACCAACGGAAGGAAGACCTTTCTCTCTGTCTCTCTCTCTCTCTCTCATTGTCTAATTCTGCCTGTCAAAAAAAATTTCATCAATTTATTTTCAGTTAATTTGAAAGGCTGAGAGAGAGAGAGGGAGAGAGGCAGATTTCATCCTTTGGTTCACTCCCAAAATGCCTGTGACAGTCAGGCCTGGGCCAGGCCAAAATCAGGAGCCTGGATCTCCATCCTGGTCTCCCTTGTGAGTGGCAGGGACCCAGTGCTTAAGCCCTCATCTGCTGCCTCCCAGGTGCGTTAGCAGGAAGCTGGCTGGGAAGTGGAGATGCTGGGACTTGAACCAGCCAGGCACTCCCATATGGAATGGGGGTGTCCTGAGTAGTGATTTAACTGTCGGGGACACCCCCTCCCTCACACTGGGGTGTCTGTGCATTTTAAAGATTTATTTATTTATCTGAAAGGCAGAGTTAGAGAGAGAGAGAGACAGAGACAGACAGAGACAGAGACAGACACAGGGAGAGAGATCTTCCATCTGCTGGTTCATTCCCCAAATGGCCACAACAGCCATGGTTGGGCCAGACCAAAGCCAGGAGCCTGGATCTTCATCTGGGTCTCCCACATGGGTGGCCAGGGCTCAAGTACTTGGAACATCTGCTGTTGCTTTCCCAGGAGCATTCGTGGGAAGCTGAATTGGACGTGGAGCAGCCAGGACTCAAACTGGCGCCCATATGGGACACTGACATCACAGGTGGTGGCTTAACCCACTGTGTTTTAGATGATTTATTTATTTATTTGAGTGACAGAGAGAGGGCAAGACAGGTAGGGAGAGAGAGAGAGAGAGAAGGGAGAGAGATCAGTCAGTACTGTGGTATAGTGGGTTAAACCATGGCCTGCAGTGCTGGCATCCAATATGGACACCAGTTCAAGTCCCAGCTACTCCACTTCTGATCTAGCCCCCTGCTAATGTGCCCAGGAAAGCAGCAAAAATGGGCCAAGTCCTTGGGTCCCTGTACCCATGTGGTAGACCTGGATGAAACTCCTGGCTCCTGGCTTCAGCCTGGCCCAGTCCTGGCCATTGAGGCCACTTGGGGAGTGAACCAGTGGATAGAAGATCTTTCTGCCTCTCTTTTTCTCTCTCTGTAACTCTGCCTTTGAAATAAATAAATCAACCTTTAAAGGAGAGACAGAGAGAGAGAGAGAGAGAGAGAGAAGAGAAGAGAAGAGAAGAGAAGAGAAGAGAAGAGAAGGTCTTCCAACAGCTGGTTCACTCCCCAAATGGCCACAATGGCTGGAGCTGGGCGGGGCAGAAGATAGGACCAGGAACTCCATCCGGGTCTCCCAGGAGGGTGAGGTACCTGGGCCATCTTCCACCAACAGGGAGCTGGAAAGGAACTAGAGCAACCGGAACTCAAAGTGGCCCTCTGCTGCAGGATGCTGGCGTCACGGCCGGTGGCTTACCCACCGTGCCACAGTGCCAGCCTCCCCTCACGCTGAATTTCATTGGCCCCATACAATGCTCAGATTCTTGGGAGATAAGGTGTCAGTATTCAAAAATTAGGAAGTCTCTCATCAATAGCTAGACTTGCAGCTTTTCTTGAGAAGTGAAATGCTGTGGGAAATAAGCTACATTCCACGTGGCAACAGTTTCCTCTCTATGGGCTATGAAAGTCACAGCCTGGCCCAAGTTCTCTTTCAGTCACTAGCACTTTAAGGATAAAATCTCTGGGTCTGTTAAAATGTGCAAAGATGCTCCGCTTCCCTCTTAATGTGAACAAAGGCAGTCTATGGTGAGGTGCCACTTCCCACCGTCTCGCTAGCCAAGATAAAGAGGTTTGCCAACACGCTGTGTCTGCCAGGCCACAGGACTCTGCTCCCTGCATGTGCACGTGGGAACACGGGCCACTTCCCGCCATCTTGCTAGCCAAGATAGAGGTTTGCCAACACGCCATGTCTGCCAGGCCACAGGACTCTGCTCCCTGCACGTGCACGTGGGAACACGGGTGGCGGTGTGCCATGGACAGTCTCTCGCTGTCCACCAGAGTTGCCAAACAACACGTACGCTTGACCAAATAACACCTGTTCTTGAACTTTGTCCCACAGAATGCGCGCACATGGGAAATGCAATTCTTTTTTTATTTGCTTTTAAACATCTTTTTCTGAAATGTATATAAAGAGAACAAGCCTCAGGTCTTTCATACATACAATTCTAGGCCCACGGTGACACATGTCACCCTTCCGCCTTCCCTCCCTGCCTCGTTCCTCCTGCCTTTCTTTTCTCCCCCCTTTCCATTTTTGTGGTAACGCATTTTCAATTTACTTTATAGTCATGGGCTTAATCCTCCAGTGAGTAAAGAATGCAATAAATAGAGAGTAGAAAGACCACAGTTTCTGCAGGAGCATAGACAAGGGCCCTAAACAATCACATTTCAAGGTGTCAGTTTCACTCATATACATTCCTTTCTTTGTACTCCGTACGCTGGCCACAAGTCAGAGAAAACACAGCATTTGTCTTCTTGGGTCTAGTGGGAAATCTGACCACACCCCACGAGGGGTTTTTGAAATGTTCAGAGAAAATGCGTATTATGAAAACAATCATCCATGAATCTCCGAATTGTTTTACACATAAACTTATCTTCTCGCCCCGTTTTTCCATGAGCCTTTTGAAGTACCCCTGCATCAGGTTAGTCGTGCACCTGCTATTTATCACACCTGTGAACTGAACTAGACCAAGTGTCCATCAGCAGTGACTGGCAAGGCGAAGCAGAGGAGGCCCCAGAGTTACATGCTGTGCCCTGAGGGCTGTCTGTGTTCTGATCTAGAAAGAGGATCTCCGAGATTTGTTATTTACGGATACGGAAAGCGGGGGGGTGGGGTAAAGGAGCAGGCAGAGTGCCGCACCACTGGACGTGGGAGAGACTCTGGGCCCTGGGTGAGCCTGACTTTTGACGCCCCTGGAAGGCGGCTGTCACATGAGGCCAAGCTTCTGGTAAGGCACGTCTGGGTCCCTCTCTCGGTCCTCTGGCCCGGCCCTTTTCCTGAGTTGGGCCAGGCAGCCTCCGCGAGCTTGGGCCGCTGTGATGGCGGTCCCCTCCCTGGCACGGTGCGGCTGCGTGCATGCCTGTATCCCCTGGGCGCACAGCCCTGGGTCCCCCTCACCGCCTCTGTCGTCTCTGCTGTCCTAGGGGAGCCTTCTCCGTCGTGCGCCGCTGTGTGAAGGTGCTGGCCGGCCAGGAGTATGCCGCCAAGATCATCAACACCAAGAAGCTCTCAGCCAGAGGTAGGGGCTGCTGCACACCACCACCCCCGCCCCGCGGGGGTCCCCTGGCGTCCCCCCTCCCTCTGCCTCTGGCCTCAGGCTCAGGACCTGCATCTGTCC